TTTGTATGTGGAACCCATACAGAGCTACAATATGTGGTTATGAGTATCGATGATCATCCTTCCGTGGAGGATTGAAAGACACATCATTTTCTCCATGATCATATACTGGACTCCTTTAAAAGGTTGTAGTGGTTTTGTTACAAATTTCTTGATTTATCAGATGGAATCGTTCAAAAACGATAATCTCCTCGCTTCGCCGTAATGCTTCCTTGTTCAGGGTGTCAGGTTGGCGTAGTGGTTCTTTCCTCGCCCCCCATCTCTGCGGTCCAGGTTCGATTCCCGACTGGGTCCACATGTGGGATGGATTTTCAGTCCCTACGTGATTTCGTGGGTTTTACCCAGAGTATATTCCTCTGGGGTTTTCCTCCCACCTCTAAAACTAACTGCTTATTATTGTCTCCTCTATGCAGGTTTCTTCAGGCTTGCGAGGTATTTTGCCACTTTTGAGGAATCCTTGGTCTCATTACCAGAAATAACTAATAAATAAATAAATAAAAACTTGAGAGAACCTCCTTCATCCTTCGCTTCTCACAAACAATGCCAGTGAGACAAACAAGAAATTGAATACAAAAAAGTGATAAATTACATCAGGCGCAGATCCCGAGGTGGCTAGGATCACCCTGCCCCTTCTGATATAAAATTTTTAGATCGTAATTACAGTGCTGATAATATCTTTATCGACATCCTGCTACATGTATAAACTTAGACAAGTGCATCTAATGCATTTACTTTGCGTCCACCTGTCCGCAACAAACTGACAGAAAACCCCAAGATCTGACAGGCCTGATCCCAACCGTACCAAGAAAATTCCATGGATCCACCCCTGTCTCATTATCATATCTTTTCCTTATCATGTTGGAGAGCTGATTAGTTTCCAGGCTTCTTTTCTCGTCTAATCGGCATGTTGTCACTGTTGTGCGCCAAGAGTATTGTGTTAAGTGACCCTGTAAATGTGAACTTGACCGAGGCGTTCAGGGATAGCCTTAAAATGTCCGATTGTTGTTTAATCACCTCATTACTTCTATGCATTGGTCGAGATTTACTCGTTTTGAAATTTTTGCCTATTAAGCTTTTTATTAAGCCTTTCCAAACTACATGTATTTGATTAATTTACGTATAAAAATCTTCCATTTAATTCCGATTTTTTTCCGAAACATCTCACATCGTCCCTGCTCTGAGATTCCATTGTGCCCCAGAAAATGTGATCGACTTTGTACATGCACCAGGGGCTAACATGATGAGATGCAAGATATACACATATATACATTAATGTAGCATGTGGTGCGACCATTTTGATTATACGCCAACAAATTACTGTTTACAGGTAGGCCTACCGCCGGCGCCCTGCATTTCAGAAACTCGCCAGTTTTAAGCTGAGACTGCAAGCTTTCGCCTGCCCTCACAATGAGCGACGTAGACATCAAAAGTGGCGGGAAAAAGTGCCCATTAGGCTTCAGCAGCGGCGGTGAAGGCAGCCGTGGGCACAGCAGTTGTCCTTACGGGTTTGGCCGCCAATCTCACGGTCATGGTCATGGCATAGGGCACGGTGGCCTAGGCCACTGCCCATTCTTACACGCACAAGGGCATTCTGGCCATGGCTATTTTGGCCACGGGCTTGGAGGCCACCATGGCTTTGATCACCATGGAATTAGTCCAATTCTACAGTGCCCGTGGATGATCGCTCGCATGCATGCCTGCCCTTGGGCCTGGGGCGTTAGCTCCGACCACCACGGCAGACATCATGGCTGCAAGAGGGGTGATTTCTGTGTGTCTTTGAAAGTGACTGAATACTGCTCAGAGGATCTGGAGGTCAAAGTGGTGGGACAAGAGGTAATTGTCCACGGTGAGTCACATCCTATTTTATCTTGGAAGGCTCCTTGAGTTGGTGTTAAGGGTTTCGTTTCTTTCAGTGATAAACTGGTCACATCCTCTCACAACAATCTTGATATTTCTCTGCAATGCTGCAGAGACTTTTAAGTTAAAAAGTGACCAGCTTTTCGGAACCCAAGATCTTTTTTCTAGTAATGAAATGTTCTAAATTAAATTGAATGATAAATTGAAATGAAATTTTTAAGCAATCTTTGTCAGAGTTTGTGTCATAAAACACAGTTTTAAAACGATTGAATTTTATCTTTTAGCATTTAATTAGAGTATTACTCAGACAGTATTTGTTTTTGGATTTGCATTTGGATTTAGTTGTGGATTTTTGACATTTTATATGTTCAGGAAATTAGTTTAGATTGTACAAAGGACATTTTCATTAGCTTAGTGAGAATTTTAGCTTTCTAATTCTTCGGAGAGGGGCCATAGGTAAGAATTTGGTTTTAATGCTATCTCCAGGAAAGCATGGCCTTCGCCCTGATCATCCAGGTGATTTAGGCACCGTGACCAGGGAATTTACCCGTTGCTACCCGTTGCCAGATGAAATCGATATAGAGACAGTGACCTCCTCCCTGAATAACCACGAGCTGATCATCACTGCCACCAAGAAAGTAGCCGAGGGAGAGCCTCGTGTTGTCCCCATCCAGGTGGGCGAAGAGCATAGTGATTGAAGACCGAAAGGTATGGAGGATGGGCCAAGATGTTAATGTACCCCACCACGCCTCCTCCATCATACTTCCTCTCTTCACATCAACCCCCTCTAGACCCCCATCCTTTCCATACAATTCTTCGTTTTTATCATCCCAGACAGAAAATGCACTGGAATCAAAGGTAGCATAATTGAAGGATCAGAAAGATACTGTCAAAATTTTGTCAATGAATCATACATCAATATGAGGATTAAATAGGGTACCGAAGAGAATATATACGTCACACGTTACACGAATCAATAAGATAGATGATCAATTAATAGATGAAGAAAAATAGTCACATTTCAAACAGATAAGGAAAATCAGTATACCACGGAGGTAATTTACCCTGACCAAATCTACATCAGGAAGATTATCTAATTGATCATTCATCGAAAGGAATGTTTTCAAGGTCTCTTACCCTTTTTTAAATTCATAAATGTTTTACCCTTCTACTTGTGGTATGTATTTTTGGTATGGAGTATCAATAGGAAAAAAGAATGAAAACAGAAAATGTCAGTTTACTACTGCAGATTCTCAAGTACCGCGGAGCATACCTGAAAAAGTACTATGGATTAGACGGACTGGTTTAACAAGTTGCTTATGTAGCTGAGCTGAGTATATTAACTACCATCTTTTTATCCTGCAGAAGTTATAGTACAAGCATGGTGAGACCATTTTATTGTCAGAATAGTAAGCGTTAATAGAACAATAAATGTCAATCTTTGCAAGCCTCGTGGAACATGCCCCTAAACGTACAGTAGATTACAAAGACTGATGTAATAGATTGCGAACTGGTATCAAACTTTTGCATAAGACCATCATTTTAGTCTGGAATAGTTTTTCAGAAGCCTAGTGTGATTTGGTTTATTATCAGTTTCACAGTTAGAAATGCTTTGCTTGAAGTTATGAAACTGGGGATTGAGAAGTCTACAGTGTGTAGTCTGACGCGGAAAATAACATTTCAAGGCTATGTATGGTGTGCTGACAGCTTTGCATCCAGATTACAAAGTGTCTCGTTCTATGGAAAGCAAAAGGCAATATTGTGCTGGTGGAAAATAAAACTTACTTGTGCTCTTGGATTATTTTGAATGAAGGAGAAACGATTTATATCAAAGCAAACTACTTTGAAGCTCTCATTGTTAAAAAGTACTGCCACGATAAAGCCTCATTGAATTTTGTAGTTTTTGCAGTTAATGTCAATGATTGTGCATTTTATGCCGTTTTACTACAAAATAAAACTTGCAAAATTATACATGATTGCAAACTTTTCAAGTGTGTTGATGTATCTGCAGGAATATCCCTTCATCACGGTTTTATTCTATACCTGTGTATATAACTCTGATCTGTGCCGATAAGTTGCGCCGGCAGTGCGTTTTGCGCGCGTGATTTACCTTCCCATTT